TATACTACTTTCTTAGGCTAGGTTCTTACATCATGATAAAATATATTGATTCAGTTAATCTATCATATTAAGCCATGGTTTGTTTAAACTCTCCTGCATAAATTATGATTAGCTGAGTTTGTACAATATGCTCAACCAAAACCAAACGTTAATAAAAATGAAATAAACCATCATTTAGTGTTTCCATATGTAGCCCCTTTTTATGTTTGTTTACCAACACATTACTTTTAAATGAATATCTGAATGATTGTATAAGATGTCTAATATCATAAAGCATTTTTTAATTTGTTTGCCAGATGTTTGTCCTCCTTTTCCTTCAGGAATTGAAGCATACATACATAGTTATCCGTCTTCTCATTTCTTCCCATAACACTGACCTTTTGAGGTTGATTGGGTTGAGTGGCCCAAAGTCGTCCAGTGAGCTCACATGGCTGAGGAAGAATTTGAACTGGATCTTCCCAGTTTGAGTCCAGTACTTTAATCAGTACACCACACTGACTCTACAAATGTAAAGATTTGTTTAATGATCCTTTGAAGTTATTATAAACAAACCATACTCAACCTGGCATTTTTCAAATATATTAGATTATTTGATATATTTCTCATGTGGTTTGCCAATAACAGTGACTGTCATAGTGACTGTCAGTTATGGAAGATGTAATCCAGTATATTGATGGAATCAGTAACAAAAGCTGTTGTAACTCACAGAGGTTAAAACGTGCAGAGCAGCCATTTGGGGGGTGGGGGGATAGTAATTGCTCAGTAGAAGGTAGAATATGAAATACTGCTGTTTTACAAAAACTAACCTATTGTAGATGATCAACTATAGAAATACAGAAAAAATAAAATTATTGAGAATTAAATATTGTCTGCAATTATTTGGAAGGAGCAAATATTAGGACGATATTGAACTGTATGTTTGTAATTTTTAAATAATCTCTTCTAAATTTGTATTATAAAATAACATACTTATAAGCCCCACTTCGAGCCATACCCAATCATCTTGTTTTACTAAACATAGCAAGCTAATTAATGTAACATTAAATTAACACTAAGCACTGCTTCAAGTTCTGTTGTAATGAGTAACAGTGCTTACTTAGATATGGAAAAAAAAAAGATTTATATCTTTTTGTAGTCACATCAGAGGAGGTATAAACTATGGTTTAGCATTAGGTGATAAACTAAATTATGATTAGTATTATGTAGAATCAGGACACTGTTTATCATGGCTGCTTTTCAGCTGGATTAATACACTGATTGCAGAGTTTCCAAGAACAAGATTTTCTAGAGGGTGTATGTATATCATTTCATCCCTAAGGTGTTTTAATTCAATAGTAAACAGCTATGCGATCATTTGAAAGAGAGAATTCAAGTAGCCGAGAGTGGCTGTAGTTACACAGTACACTACCCCATGGTTTACTTAATTAAGTCAGTCTCCTGGTTTAGTTCAACATACTGAAACATAAGCTACTCACACTGGTTGGGTTCACACTGTACATTTTGAACCATTTTACACTAGTGCATTGTGCAAACCCAACCAGGGCCAGATGCAGTATATTTAGAGCTACCACATCTGGGCTGCAAAAATCCTGATAACCAACAGCTAGAAGCAAAGAGATACAGAAAACTTTATTTACTGTCATTTAGTGGTTGTACAGATTTTGCAGCCCAGAACTGGTTGATGTAGTGATCACATTATGGACACAACCAGTCAATAACATTAAAGTGCTATCCTCTGGTCCATGAGTGGGCATAAAAGGATGTTGGCATCAGTTGTGTTGCCCTCGTTGCTGATTCCTATTTGGTCTACAGTATTTATTTATTTATGCATGCACACAAGCACGCTTGTAGACAACTTCAGTCATAGCTGACTCCAAACTATCTTCTAAGCAAGGTTAAAACAATACACAATAATAAAATTAATAATTGATAACAATCAACATCCTAATACAACATAAAAACAGCTTTATTTTTATATGTTGTGAGAACCCAGATTCATGATTTGCAAAACATCAGTTTTATGACTGAATGTTACAGTATGTGGAAACCCAGTCACTGTGTGTATGATTATTTAGATAAGAGCTAATCCCTCAATTTCTATTGCAGTGTGAATGAAGTATGTATCACTCCAAAATACACAAGCCACCTTCTCTTATTGTATGGTAGGCTGTTATGAAGTTCAACAAGCTGTACCTGATTGTCTGTTTAATCATGAAAAGGATTGCTTGAATTTTTGGATAGAAAACGAGTAGAAGCACACTTCAGAAAGCCAGTATCTGCGGGTCATATTATATTCTCTTGAAAGACAGTTGCTGCAGCAGAATCACTTCAGATAATCTGCAAAACTAGGGGGAAAAGAGGATTTCAGTTGAAGTTGGCAGCCTTGTCTGATTTCTCCACTTGGCTTCCCTTGTACCTTTTGCTTGCAGATTTCTAGCACAGTCACCTATGTTTAATTCATGTGGTTATGCACAGATTTTGATTATGTAGTAGAGAAGACGTACAGTTTCTCATCTACTAAATTAATCTTGCTTCTGTCTAAAACAGACTTGGTTTTAAGTGCAAAAGGGAGCAAGGTCTAGTTTTAATTCAAACAGGAGAGTTGCATCTTACAGTATTAGAACGCTTTATTGCACTTCGTTAGAGCAACCCTAACCCTGGTTTTCTAGACAGTGGCCACAGGAATTGCTGTCAGGATCGTACAACAGATGTTAAATTTCAGTAGTACAAATATGCCTAGGGAGTAGCAGTAAAGTAACTAGCTGTACTATGATTTAGCGTCCGTTAACCCATGTAAACAAGGCTTTTTGGTTTAAAATGATATGTGAATCCAGTCAATTGTAGATTATTCAGCAAATTGCGGTTTAATAAACTTGGCAATATACATGTTTTTATGTTTAAACTTGGTAAAAATAGAAGAATTATTGCTGTATTTAATGAAGGGTTTGATATGTGTGTGTTTCTCTATTAGCTTGTGCATTGTTACGGATGGTTAGAATGTGATTTCCCCTGCCCCTGCCCTTGCCCTACCCCCACCCCCATTGTTATGCAACCTTCAGGGGGAAAAAGTTAAAATAAATGGCCGGGTACTGTGCTCCTCCATGTGCCACACAGAGATATATGTTTGATTACCTCACTGGGTGTTGAGCACTAAATCATGTTCAGAAGTTTAACTGGCCTTTTTCCACTTTTTTCCTTTCACATTGCCTTAGTCTAGGAGTTGTAGTATATCTTTTAATATATAAAATAAACAAGTACATATGTTTTAAAACAGAGGGAGAGACCTGGTGGTCTCCCGTTACTGTCTTACTGTCCAGAGCATCTGTTCCATCCCAGGATCAAGATCAGGGGAAAATGCTGAAAGAGAAACCTGCTGTGAATGCCATTGACCCACATAGACATCCAAGCTGTGCTTTGATCAATTAATAAGGGATGGAAATGGTAGATAACCCTCTGAAACATTGCAGAGGAGAACAGAAATTATCTTGAATGTTCAGAGTAACTCTCTGTTGACAGCAGCACAAGGAAGCTGATCTCACCCACTCTAAGAAAAAAAATACTATTTGATTTCTACTATTTCTCCATTTCTCTTGAAAACCTTTGATTCTTGACACAAGTATTTGATGCACCAAATTCCATGCCAACAATGACACTGGCTTGCTTTCTTCCAATTCCAACACCTGTCTTAGTGTGGCTTTTTTCTTTTCTTATAGCCAATTCTGTTTCTCGGTAATTTCTCTCTCTTGACCTCCATCATTTCACAGCACACAAATGCCCCTCAATTACTGCCACATAGAAAGGAATGCCACACCCAGAACACCATACAAGTTGCTTCTGAGATTCAATTGTCTAACCTGAAGGATGGATACAGCTGGAAACACCCGACCCACAATTTTCTTCCCAGATAAGCATCTCTAACCTAGACAAAATATTTCACTTGGAGTTCCAATAAAAAGCCTTTGCTTACTTATCAAACCACAGTACAACCATGAAAACACACAACAAAGTTGTCAAGATGCGTCCAATTCATTTTGCTGATGGTGACAAATCAATATTGAAATAAACATTCAGAGATGTCTTTTGACATGGAAAACAATGTAGAAATAGATACATGAAAAATAGACATTTAAAACTGTGATTTGGACAGGAGGAGTATCCTTCTATATCTGATGAAGTTTTCGTGGTTTATGTTCCACTTCATTAGATGCATAGTATATTATCCTAAGCCAACAATATATACATCCATGATTGGACAGTATATGTGTGTTTGGAATGGGAAAATTCTCATTTCTCTATTTTTGGAACCCTTTCCACATATGTATGTGCACAAACTAAGAATAATGATGAAATGGACTGTGACTCATTAATGTATATGCTCTAATAAATGCATTCATCTTTAAGATGCATTAAGATGCATTCTTTGTTCTTTCTACTTTATGCCTAGCCCTGAAGTCAATACCCATTTTAAATCTTGTCAGTCTCAGAAACCATACATTTAAACTCAAGGTATTTTGGCTCCTTAAAAAGTCCTTGCTGCCACAAAAGACACAGGTTAGATATAGCAGCTTATATTTTTCACTTTGAATAGACAGCACTTTGCAGCTAGTTGATCAGGATTGGGGGTTGAGGGTGCTGGAGGGGCCCACAATTCTTTTTGGGGGGTCTTAAGCCTGGCCTTTCAGAGCCAGACAAAAGACAAGACTTTCCATCACTTCCCTGGCTTGTTTGCATATGGGACAAAGATGAGCAAAATAGCAAAAGCGTAAACAGCTGCAAATGGGAGGAGGAAACCAGTAGCGGGGCGGCGGGGCGGGGGTTATATATTTATTCTTCCTGGGCTGAATCGTGAGGGAAGTTTGGGTCCTTGTTGGTAGGGGACGCTTATAAAAATCTCCAGCTCCACACGGGCTTTCCTTCCTGTTGTTTGCTTAGGGAATCGAAGGGGGAGTGATAAAAGGAAGAAGGCAGGGCAGGGCAGGGCAGGGCAGAGCTGAGCCGCGGGGGACCCAGAGGGAGGCACCGACCACACCGTGCTGAACCAGTAGCCTTGTCTCCCGCGGTCATTAACCTTGCTGGGAAAAGCAGGGGCAGCTCCCTGGCAAGGCTGGTCATTTGGAGAATGTGAGCCGCGCCAGAGGCAACTGCAGGCACGTTTCTGGGAAGCTGCTCCTTCGCCGCGAAGTGAGTTGAAAGAGGGGTCCCTCTGCGTGCGTGCGCTCGCCCGCCCGCCCGCCGACATGAGATTCCCGCAGCTCCTTTTGAGCTGGGTTTTGCTGCTGACGGGGCTGCTCCTTGTCAACGGGCAGAGGCCAGGTAAGGCTTGGGCTTTCTTGCCTGCTTTCCCCCGGTCACGGGAGCTTAGGCTGGGGCAGGAGTCGGTGCTCCTTCTGCATGGCACGGGCTGGGGTAGCGCGCATGCAGTACTGTCCGCCTCTGCTTTTTCTGCTCCTCGGAAGAGGGCAGATGAAGAAATCCTCGCGAGGATATCCGCCACCTCGGGGCGTGCACCTGCGTGGTGGGGCTTAAGTCTGAAAGGCTGGATTTGCCAAGGTCGGTTAATTTTGTGTCTTTCTTTATCAAAATAAACTCATACTAGAAGTACAGATGGTCGATTTTAGACCCTGGGCTCATCTTTAAGCACGGTTGCTATCCTATTAAGTTGGAGCTTCTAAGAAAATACCTTAGTTATGCTAACGCAAATATACATAAGTGATTTTCTGCCCAGAACGCTTGAGGGAATGGGTTGCATATAAATTGTATTTTTTAAAAAAGTTATGTGACTGATATCTTTACATGAAGTTTCTAATGCCTTGCAATCTTTTTAGTATTGATTAGAAATTACCTGTAGTCTTCAGGTAATATCTGCCAGGACTGCTGCTTTATAGCTTCCTATGATAGCTTAACCCTATTAGGCTGGCCTATATCAGTGAGAAGTGGTATAATCTGAGCCTTGCATTTTATTTTCTTTTGCTTATTCAATTCACGGACACTCTCCCAGGTTCCTATTGCTCTATTCTTAACAAAGAAATAAGGAAGCAGCAAAGGGAACATGGTTCAGATGTATGGATTGTCTGACTGAAGAAGCTAGCTGTCTAGCCCTCAGCTGATTTTCCAACTGTAGAACTGTCCAACCCTCAACTGACTTTTCAGAGGGGGGTTTGACAATCCCAGCAGGCTGACTCTGATGTGGTCTCATGGACTTTAGGACAAAGAGCTTGAAGTGGCACCCTGGAAGCTGGAGGGAGACTTGGGCACTCCCTTAATGCCAGCTGGTGACAACGTTCATTTCCAGTTCTCTTGGGCTGAAAGACAGAAGAAAGCAGCAACAAGGCAGGAACTGAGGAACATTCCCACCTTCTATTTCATGCACATGTTAAAAACATGTCACTGCAGGTGAACAAGGTTTGTTTTTTTCAACAGAAAAAAGCAGAGACCTGTGTACATATTCTTCTTTTAAGGTAGCTCCCCATGGATCTGATGAAGTGGGCTGTGGTCCACAAAAGGTTAGGCAATAGTAGATATAAAAGATTTTGGGATGCTACAAAACTGAAATAATATATTATTCATAAGTCATCTGGCAGTCTGATCCTGCAAAACAGTTCTCTTAATGGGGAAGAAGAGAAAAAAGGATCCCTCAGACCATTCTAATATGTGTGTGTGTATGTGTGTGTGTGTGTATACATATGTATATATCTATAGGTATAGAGATGTAGACGTAGATACAGATATAGATATACAGTATATCATAGCTCCTGTAACTGTTCAAAGGGTTGATGGGGCAAGAATGATAATGGTGGCTCTGTCATTGCCTCTTACAAAGACATAGGCAGGTTGTCCTCAGGATGGGGTCAGAAAAAGGTAAGATGGCAGCCACCACAGTGCAATAGAAGCTCTGCCTATTTTTTTATGCACACCACTTTCCCTGCAGACACTATGGATACCGGACAAACATACAGGGCATGTGGTAGGACCAAGGTAGCAATGTGGTGTGGATCCTTGTTCTACAGGATACTGAGCCAAATTGCCACCCCATTTGGGCAGTCCATCTAGCATTTGAAGAATGCTTGGTTGTGACATGATGCAATTGTTCTTGGCTAGTTTCAGGTATAGAAAACTATCAAAAAGTTCAAACAATTGTTCATGCATCTTTACATTCCTGAAAGTATATCCAATGGCTTTGGAAATATGATTACATTTGGATTTGAATAACATGGCACAGCAGGCAGCAGCAATTAACTGGCCTTGACCATCTAAAAATTGCTAAGCAAGTTGGACATGGTTAGTCCTCGGAAGGAAGACCTCCAGGAGATTCCAGGGTGTAAGCTAATCTACCAAAAAAAAAAAAAAAGCAATGGCAAACCATTTCTAAATTGTTGCCAAGAAAAAAACATAAAAATGTGTAGTTACAGGGAGTAGAGTTCAACTCAAGAGAAACTTAGTTTACTTAGTTATTTAAATAAAGAACATAAAGAAGCATTTTAATTACACAATTCTCTTGAGAGAGGGGAAGGCAACAGTTTATGAGCACCCAGGCAAAAATGAGGAAGTTTCGGTCTTCAAATTAAGATTTTTAGCTACTATGCTGGTCTTTGAAATGAATTTTGCTTTCTACTTTTCAGTGGCTCATGGTACACCAGCATTTCTTAATCATCCTTCCTAAATGTTCAGATATGCTTTGCATGTGTTACAAAAAACCCTCTGAGGCAGACCATTATTATGCGAGGCTGAGGCAGAAAGAATGAACAACTGTCTGTTCAATGTTTTTCCAACTGCATTGAGATGAGAAGCTGTTCATGCCTTAGGATATAATCCAGCATTTCCCATTCTGGACCTTTCCAAAATACATTTTGGAATATACATCTCCTGTCTTCCCCAGACAGAATACTGGCTGAGAGTAATACAAGTTTCAGTCTAGCACCCTGGAAAGGGATCAAACTGGGAACAACTTAAAGTTTAAAAACTAAGCCAAAACAATTAGCAAACTTAAACCATTTATATTTTCAAAAAACATTTGAATTTATTTCACACAGTCCTTTTTATCTATGCAGGAACACAGTTCAACCATACATGCTTCCTTTAAAGCTAATCCCATTACATTATACTAGCTGTTTACTCTTTAAAGTTTTAGTTATGCATCATGTACAAATTATGTGGCAGTAAGCCTCATTTAACACCATGGGATATACTTTGGGGTATCCAGGCATTGCTTATACAATAAGGCTGCTTGCAGTTGGCTGGCTCATACTTTTAAACAGCTGATGGGTCTATAGATTATACTAATCTAACCGATGGTTTTATTATGTGCAAGTATTTCTAAAACACACACACACACACACTCTTTTGAAAGGGGGAGTTAGCCTGCTAGAGATAGCCTATTATCTTAATAGAAAATTTGTCTGTTAGACTTGGACTAAGACCTGGAACAAGCAGACACATTCTGTGCTGCTTCTAAAATACTTCTGATAGCAAGCTGAAGTCATGGTTGCTTATCTTGTATTAATGCTGATATCATAATCCTGACATATCAATATTCTCTTTCCTGTCTTCCAGCTAATCTGGCCAACAGACGAAAACTACACAGACATCACTGTTCCCACAGGAGATGCATGCCCCTTCATTCCAGAGTGCCCTTCCCTTGAGGTATCAGACATTTTCCAGGGCTGGGACTAAATTTAGGCAAGGATCAATCATAACACGGTAATAAAACCAGGTGCCAGTAGGGTGCAGCCATCAAAGGCTGCTCCTCTCATGTTGCCACTTGGAAAGACTGTGCAGCTAGCTGGATGGGATCACCAGAATGTTCCTCTTTGCAACTTACATTTCCATTTGCAAACAGTTGTGTGTAGGGGGGTAGTGGGGAGGAGATATTTGATTGACCCCAAACCACAAACAATTTCCTTTGGGCTGCTGTCTTTGTGTTTTTATTTGCTCTGAAAATAGAGTAAGGAAGAGGGAGTACTGGGGGTAGGGTGGGGATGGGAATGAACTAAAGGGAGAAACAGAACAATAAAAGTACTTGTTTTATGTGAACCCCTGGGCATGGTTCCAAATGAGTGAGTAGCACTGGGCTCTCTGTCAATTATTTCACTCTCTGAAGCTGTACAGAGAAAAAAGCTCATTCGAAACCCTGCTGTCCTGCTGAAGCTTTCTACTTGCCAAAGGCCAGTATTTCCTCTTCCAATGAAACTGCATTAATTAATGCAATTAATTGCCATTAATGCTGAAGTACAAATCTCTCAGATATTGGGTCATACAAGGTTTCTAAATAACAGCATTAGTTTACTTGGATATTGGTCCAATGTATGATTCCTGTCCACTTATAGCAGGATTCCTGTATAACCATATGCAGATCAAATGCATATGATGCAAAAAAAAAAATGCAAAAGCTTGAGAGGACTGTCATTGAAAAGGACAGGATCATTCTGTGCTTTATCTTCAGGCCATACTAATACAATAGCCAATATTTCTAGCTATGTAGTACAGGCAACCTAAGCAGTTTGTAAGGTCAATCTTATCAAATAATGTTTCTAAACAAATTCTAAATGAAAAATGATAAGCAGAAGGAAACTGCTTTGCCTGTTTGGTCAGGGAATTGTATTTGAAATTTGCTGTACCTATTTTACGTTGTTCCCCCCAGTTTTTTAGAAACAGTACATTTTGGGATGAAAAGCGTTATTTAAAATCTTCTCTTGGGGAGTCTTTTGTACTGGAATGCACCAGTCCAAAGAAGCTAAGTGGTAAACCTGAGTCATTAGAATTGTACTAGTTGTTGAATGGCAATTTAGCATATATGTGTGTTATTTAACAAATCAGGCAAAACAATATTGATAGAGTTTCTTTCCATCCGCTTCCTAGGGTTGTTCCCCGCCCTCCCAATTGGGTCTAAGTGCCTCAACACTTGGACTACATTAATGGAAATACTGTTATAGCAAATGCTTCATCTAATTAATTCCCTTGTGCTAGATTGCTATATAGCAGCAGAGCATATCAAAAACAAAGTGACATTAATCTTTTTTTTTTTTTTTAAGGCTAGGAATCTCTGCTCTGTAGATGTTGTTAAACTACACCTCCCAGCCACTATGACTAATTGTGAGGGATGTTGGAATTTGAAGTTCAGGAGCATCTGGATCATTACAGATTTTAATTCCAGAACAGCCAAACTTTACTGACTCTGCATCTATTCAATGTTTTAATTTCATGACAATATCAGTGACAATAAAACTATAGATCTGGATATTGTTTCAGAGAAATGGCTAGGAATTTAGCTAAGTGGTAAATTTAGCATCTTACTTTAAAAAAAAAAAATCCCCAGAATAGATGTATATTTAATTTAGGTGTCAAGCCTTTTACATTCTTACTTTTCTAAACAATGGAAGAATTAAAATGCCCTTCTGTAACAGTTCTAGGTAGGCTAGTTTATGAAGCAAAAGCAGAGCAAAGAAGATCTGGACACAAAAGTGGCCCGTGACAGCAGCTCATAAGGCATTTTGTTCAAAGAGGTCGCTGGCAAGCTGTTGCCATGAGGACGTGGGAGCACTTTAAATTTTAGATTGCATTCCAGCAATGTATAAGGCTAAAGTAGTACTCATGAACTCAGTTGGGGTCCTGCAGCTTAAATAGTGGAAAGTGCAAAGAAGCAGTGTTGCATTCTGTGACAGCATATAAATGCAAACAGTCCAGAAGGATAGAATTAGGACATACTAGAGCAAAGATCAAAAGAATGCTAAGCTGTTTTCTCAAGGAAGCATCTCATTTACAGATGAATAAAACATGTGGTCAGACACTTTGCATCTGGCAACTTCTTTTGTTATATGTGGGTAACTACATAGTCTTTGATAGTCTAGTTGTAATAAATACATTTTTAAAAATGACAGGAGTTGTAATCCCTGTCACTTCTTTTAAACACCTGTTAGAACTAGGAAGACCCACCTCTGAGTAGTTTAAAGTGGTTTTAAGTTATCTTTAAAGAAATGTTTGCTTTTTCTAGGCACTTGAATCCAAACAAAAACCAAGCACTGAATGTCAGCCAGTCCCACCACTCCCATGAATCCTGTCTGTTACAGGGTTGGGAGAAAATGGCATAGCAAAAACCTTTGCTGTGGCACCTTCTGAATACATCTGACTTCACATGGCAGTCATTCTTATTTGCTTGTTTGTTTGTTGCTTATTTGTACTGCAGCATTAGTGAATCACTTTAGATTTAGAAGGTCTAAGAGGTTTCATCTCTGACTTAGAGGGAAATGAGATTCTAGATCTTGGCTGTAAAAACCCAGAGACTAATAAAGGGCAGCAAAACAATACAGAAAACTTTAGCTAGCAGTTATCTGGATTATTGCAGCCCAGATCTGGTAATGCAACCTGCTTCTCGCACCATATTGGTTCAGAAGCAAGCAATCTGGGGCACTGCAGGAGTTGTTGAACTACAGTTTCCAGCAGCTCCAGTCAGTGTTCTCCATGATGAGAGAAGCTGGGAACTGGTTCCTGCTCCTGACTAAGTCCATGGTTTGTTCAGCTATGGTTCATTGAGAAAATCACAGTTGACTGAGCTCACAAAACATGCTACACCATCAGTGTTTCACTAGGCCCATCCCAAGCAAATTAGATAATTGCTTTATCTTTTGTGCATTCTATTAACTGATACAAAATAAATGTTTAGATTAAGGCAGGCAATGGATATTTCTTCTATTCCAAAGCAAACCCCATGGGAGTTTTCTCCCCAAGAAAGTAAAATATAGAAACCTCATTAAATAAAAATTAATATTTCTCATATTTAAATGCTTGCACATCCTCTTTAGTGGGAATAAGAAGTGTATTTCAAAGCTGCCTCAGCACTGTCCATTACTTTTTCCATGATCCAGTTCAGTTAGACCATTAGAGTTTTAAATGATAGGAGATCAAAGAAAACAATTAGGGCTGAGGCTTATCTTGGGGTTGAATTGAACTGATGGGAGAGTAAGAGACTGATGGTGTCAGCAGAAGAATATCTAGCCAAAGGAATCACATCTGTTCACTTGCCACATAAAATGTAGTCACTTTGGTGGGATTTAGATGGAAGGAGAAGCCTTGAGCCATTCCCACAAAAGTGGTTCATCATCTGTTTCCTGCACATCCAGCACTTCCTGATGTTATAGAGACAAGTCTTTAATGTGTCTTGAAATATAATGCGTGTGAGTTACTGTTGCAGACCTGGGTGATACAATATGCACTTGGGTGGATTGTTACTCCCCTACCTACCCCCTTATAGAATAGCTATTTGTAAAACTAAAAGCTATTTTGTAGCTAGTTCCATTTATGGAGCTGCTTGCTTATAACAAGAGGCAGGGAGCAGAAGCACATGCTCTTAACTATCAATTTATGCATGGTGCATCCAGTGTAGGAAGGATATAATAGAGTCAGTAGTTCCAATTTATTTCTAAACTTTCTAGGTTATAAACCAGTGAAAGGCAGCCTGAGGCTCTAGGGCTAGTTATGGCCTCATCCCTATTTTGGTAGCCCCTGGATTCTCTCTTACTGAAACTGGCAAAATGTATGTAGGCCACACACAGCAAGAAGACGAGCTGCATTTGGACTCACTTGTAGGAATACTACTAGCATTTACAAAATCTGTTTATATGGTTCAGAACCGGCAATAAGATGTCACTATGGTTTTTTAAGGCTGCTATAGCAAATTTTCCCAGTTCCCAGCCTGTGGCCCTCCAAATGTGTTGAAACTGCAACACTCACCCTGACTAGGTTGTAGCTGAGCATAACTGCCAGGAACCAAGAGGGGAGGGGAGGCCATACAAAAGTAACCTATGTTTGAGGTTGATTATTAAGAGGATTAATATATATTTATAGATAATATCCCATTTCCAATGACAACTCATGTAGCTCTGGGCTATACTTCTGATTAACTACTTAGAAATAAAAGGGATGCAAGGGGAGTTTTGGGGGCAGAGAGATGTTACATGTCTATATGAAAGTTATTGAGACTGAATCTGATTTAGACTAGTTTTATAGTAAGGCACGCCTTTTTACTGTACTTTGGTCATTCTCTGTCTGAGGAAAAATATTTTAAGATTTAATGAGGAAAAAAAAACACCATCTGAGCTCTAATGTATTCAGTTATTGCACTGGCCTAATTTTAAGAATTTAGAAGATGTTTCTCTGCTAGACATTTTTACTATAGTAGAAGATTCATAACATGTCTTAAAAATCCTGGTCTCCACTCTAATGTAAATAGATTCCCTTCACCAAGGAACTGAAAGCCAATAAATTATATTTGTACCAAACCACTGCATATCTGCTATCCTACATTTTCTCTATATGCCTATAATAATCAAGCTGCTGTTCACAAGATTCATATAATATTAAATGCTCATTGGGCAGGAAGATCATCACAGTTCCACTGATTCCACCGAACCTTCCTTTGCAGTGCTTTTTCCATGAAGCTCATTGAATTATCATTATATAATACCATATTATTTTATTAGCTGGCCATATATAAAAATGATGTTTCTTACAGACAGGAAATGGAGGCAGAGCAGAAGTGACAAGATGCTAGATTGACAGAAGGCTCCAAACGCATCTTTTCTTCCTGACAAACAAGCAAAGTCTTTTGGACATATTGCAATTTACATGTTTGTTCAGTATTATCTTTCCAAGGCTCTCACTTAAGCACAGCTAGACTTGTAGGCTCCTCTGAGCATCCACAAGAAGAAAATTCTGTTTGAGTAAAGTACCAGTTTAACTGGTGGCTAAACATACGGAGGCAAATGTATCCTGTTTACTCAGTTTTAATCACTTGGTTCAGAGAAACAGGTGGACCATAGCTCCTCTACATTTCCACAGGAACCAGCTCTCAGTACAACACAGTGGCTACTTTTTTTCTTCAGCAGGCATTTTCTTAACACCATAATAAGCTGCATAATGCAAAGTTGTGCAAAAAACACTTTAAAATGATGAGAACACTTGGGGTAACATCTAATCTAACATCTTTTTCCAGGATAACACTTTTCCCAAGCATCCCCAAGCATCTCTTGAGCAGATTTGGTAGGGCACATAGGTATTTAGTGGTGAATCTGTTCTACAAGAAACAGAATTTTTTTTCCATGACCAGAAGTAAATGGACTTATTAAGATTTTGTAAGAAATTGAACTGGTCTCAAATACTAGTTCTTTCCTGAATTTCATTGAAATGTCAATAGCTATGTGAAAATATTGAACCTGCAACATGATTTTGTAGTTCACCCTCTCAACAGCTTAATAATGCATTTGCTCATGGTGTTTTCTAGTTCTGCTATGGTCTAGGAAACTCTGTTTTGTGACCCTATATTTTTATTGATTCATCTCCACCACATTACTAAGCTTCTTTCTCAGGGGGAAGGAAAGAATTTCCCCTTATAAATCTACAAAAAATTGTTATTTCCCCAAAGGTGTATCCCACTCTTCCTTAATTATTTATGATCATGGTCTGACTACATTGGCAGCCCCATATATTTATTGTTAAGAATATTTTTATGGACCAGCTCAGCATGACAATTTTAAATCCAGTCTGCTTCTCTCTTCCTTATAATATAGTTTCTTCAAATTTGTTGAGAAAAAGAATTAAGCACAGAAGTCCAGATGACAACATTTGATAATGGCACAGTTATAATCTCCATAAGCCATCATCAGGAATGTACAGAAATCGTATGAGAAATCTGGTGGAAGAAGCTTTACTGGAGTCTGGGGATTCTTTAAGAAAGGAGAAAACAATGATCAACCAAAAGATCTTATCCAGAAGTGCTGGAGAACCATCCAAAAGTGCAGTATACTCACCACTTTTCTTGGCATGTCAGTATAGTATAGTTTCTAGTAACCAGAAAGCAAACACTACAATATTAGACAAATTATGTTCTCGAAAAAGCTTTTGCTGTATTAAGTGTCTCTTAATCATGTATCTTTTAACACCCTATTAAGAATATGCAAGAATGAAATTAGTGTTTGATAAACAACATGACTGCTTAAAGCCACAATTATTTAATCAGTTTCACTATTAATTGAAGACCAGGATGATCTGTTTTATTCCTATTGTGGCCCAGTGTTTCTCAACCCAGCCCTACAAGATACTACACTATCTTGGCCTACAATTCCAGAATTTCCAACCAACATAGTCATAGCATGTCAGCAGGGGTGGGAGATTAGATAATCTGCCTATTTTTTAAAGGGGAAATTCCTAAATACTAACTAAAATTAATAGAAAAACCTCACAAGCATGTTTGAGCCTTAGAGTTCACTTATACCAGTGGAAATGCACTGTGCTAATAAGGCTTTGCATGATCAGGTGCTTAACAGATCAGCATTGTAATATATGTCTTGCCATAAAGTAGTCCTTGATATATTTGTAGACATTTTAACACTACAATCTATTTGGATCATATATTGTGATTCACTAATTTCTTAAAGCATGTTTGTAACTGTATATGTTGTAAAAATGTATTTCAAATAGCATTATCACATTAAATTCTCATGTATCTTTTAACATTTTTGTATTTTGTATATTGAAATCACCCACTTTCACAGAGAAGTGAAATCTTTACTTAATTTCTTTTTAATTTTCATAAGGGATCAATATAAACAGTAATAATCTATCTACCTAAGTAAACTATACATTAAACCATTCTTTTTTCAATTTTAAACCAAAACTATTAATAGAATTTAATCAGATAATGGCGCATTAAAGATATTGTGGCTGTCCAGTTCCAGCAGAATAAGAATTATCCACCTTTCTTTGGAGAGAACTGCTGAAATTAAAGATCAATATTTTTAAATGTCAGTGTGCTGTGTTGTATTCCTAATACAATAATCTCTCTGGATGTTTTAAACAAAATTTGTCATGTGATTAGATTAAATGAAATAAATAAAATCATTTAACCCATAAAGAACCAAACTGAGAATTAAGACGTGAAGATATGGAATCTTCTATAGGTTCAAAAGTGCAAGCAGATTATTCCCAGATAAATTAGTATGGGGTTGCACTTGAGATTTAAACTTTTTAATACTTGCTTTGCCAGATTTTGACAATAATAAGGCCTCAAATAAGTTAAAGAGATGTATTTTTAAAAGAGTGCAAATAATTAAACATCAGTAGAAATATTTAAAATATAGAGGTTCTTTCAAAAGGAAATCGGCATGGGAGTGGGGGAAGGAAGCATATACATTCCTTTGAGGTCCTTTAAGAAAAAAATTATACATCAAATAAATACTTAATGATATGTGAAAGATCTTATTCTTCAAGTTGCTTCAGAACCTTTATTGCAACTAAGCTAGCTGCCGACGCTGTCCACAAATGATTTGCTTCTTCCTACAACACTGTTTTTCCAAACAAGAAACATTAGTATGTAGTTTTATTTTAGTTTGCATTACTTTGTCTGATATTTGATATTGAGTCCTAGACACTGCCTTTGCCCTGACAGATTCTGCTGCCCAAGCTGGGAAACTAGAGAGAGTGGCTGATGGTCCCCTCTATTTTGTGGTGCCATGAGAATGGGCTTAATGGTAGGTGTTCCCTGTAGGGGCTCCCCTCTTTTGGAATGGCCTCCCCCCTCCCCACCTGAGGATGGTTCCTGTTCTCATGGCCTTCTGGAGGCTTGTAAAAGTCTGGCTTTTCCAGTTGATTCTGTGTGAAGCCATTGGCACCATGAATGATTTTATATCATTTCTATTAAATTAATTAATCATTATGAATTGCATTACCATAGTTTTATTCTATATTTGGATTCTGCATATGGCCCAAAGTCCGCCTCCAGATTGAGGCAGTAAATAAATTTCAGGGAGGAGAGCAGAGGGGAGGAAGGAAAGCCTGAATTTCCCTGAGAAGATGGAACAGACTCACTGAAAAACATCTTCAGGTTCAACAGAAGACTTTAAACATATTTAAAGTTCAAGACACTTCTACTTTTTTTTTTTTTAAAAGTATATCTCATCTAGCCTGATTCCCTATATAGTGCAGTGACCTTTGTAAATCAACTAATGTACAAGTGTTTGAAAAACTGGGGTCAAAGGGACTGTGTACATTGTAGTTTAGGCCCAACTGCAGTCTACACAGCCAGATGTGGGAAGGAAAACTTTACCTATTGGAAAAGCCAGTTGATATTTGCTCCCATTTGCATACTGATTAAGGATTTCCCATTGTTTCATATTTACACACTGGGACAGCAGATCAATTTGAAGCCCAGTCCTGTCTCCAAACACATTGTTATGCATCAGAGACACTTAAACCAGTCAACATAAAAGGCCTGTCACTATGGGAAATGCTTATCTCAGGATTAGGTTGTTGATAGTCTTATCCAACCAGATTGCTTTTGCCTTTAATTACCCATCACAGTGAAAAGAGGTGTTGACCCTGATTCTATAGATGTCTCTCTTCATGAACATTTCATTCATATTTTTCCCGGCCTTAAAAGTTTATGGATAAAGTTGATTCAGTAACTTAACTTACAACAATTCATAAGAGCCAAAGAGGGAATAAAAACAATCCAGCAAGACCATGAAAAATATATATCAAACCTTATACTTTCAGCTCCTCAACATGTCTTTTTTTTTTTTAAAGAGCCATAAATATCCTTGATAAAGGATACAGAACTGGAAGTATTTTTTTCCCCTTTTAAATTGCTTATTTTTCATAGTAAAAATATGCAAGGTACCCAGATCTCTTCATTTGGTATTTGCAAGGGTATTTGCAAGGGTATTTGCAAGACTAAAAGAAGTCTTATCAATATTCAAGTCATGTATTCAATATGGTCTTAAGGTGGAATGTTAAGCAAACCTCAGAGTTTTGTTCTGTTTTTGTTTTTTCCTTCTTTTGTCTTCCCTACCATTTTTGCAACATTTGTCATATAAAGCAATCTTAGAAGCTTGCCATTTTTGTGTGATATTCTGTGAACTTTTAGAGCAAACAGATTGCTCTAATACATTTTGATGGTTTTCTTATGACCCACTTGATTACCTTTGCTTTTCATATCACCTCTGGATGTTTTCTCATTATTTTCCTTAATCATTAAGCCAAACCAGACAAACATTTGAATCATAGAAACACTTCCCCACGAATTATCCCAGTGCTATTTTTTCTCCACATGATATCAACTCATTTGTGAACTGTTTAAGTACTTAGGCTACTGAGTCATCAACATAAGAATTCAGTTAAGTTTTGTCCTTTCAACCAGTCAATATAGGAACAGACAATATTCTATCAATATTATAAAAGCTACGTGTAAGGAGTTCTTAAAAATTTCTAACCACCATGGATAGAGATGATGATTAGGAATACAGGTAGTCCTCACTTAACAATCACAATTGGGACAGTAATTTAGGTTGCTAAGCAATTCAGTCATTAAGCAAGACCTCATGTGGCTGCTTTGCTTAGTGATGACAATCCCAGCAATTCCCCTTGCTGTCATTAAGCAAATTTTACCGGTTGTTAGCCAAGGACCCACCCCAATCCAAGCCATTCTGGGCTAGGTCCCTCCTAGCCCCAAGCCTCAGGGTAAGGGACTGCCTCCAACTCCCCCCAACTGCCTATCTCCCCCCCATCTCTGCCCTTTTGGCTGCCCTGCACCCTGCCTTGTGGGACAGCAACAAGCCCCAGAACTGTGTGGCTTTGGGGCTGTTTACCATGCCCCAGGAAGCCACAGCTGCCCCAGTCCAGACCCACCTGCCTATCTTCCCCACTGAATGCTGCCATTGGGGGTCTGCCTTTAGCATTTTTTGTTCTTGTTCTGCAGCGAAAGCCAACCCAGCCCAGCCCAGCCCAGCAGCCAGGCTGGGCATGCCTCATCAGCAGCAGGAGCAAGAAGACGGCAAAGTCAGCTGAGGCAGCAAAGCACAGGGTAGCAGGGGGCCAAAAAGGCATAGATGGGGGGAGATAGGCAGGTGGGGGAAATTGTAGCGCCCTTGCAGTTTTAATTGTGGGTGGGCTGCCAAGTGCCCAAATTTTGATCACATGACCATGGGGGTGCTGCAACAGCTGTAACTTTGGGTACTGGTCGTAAGTCACTTTTTTCAGCATGTTTGTAACTTTGAACGGTCACTGAACAAATGGTCAGTAAGTGAAGACTACCTGTAATTTTCTAGTATTTTTAATGTTTAAAATAATATTTTTACCTTGACTTTTTTAAAAGTTCACCCTTATTTTCATTTTCCATTTTCATTCACCAAATATTGAAAATTCTAAATC